CCCCCAGCACGTCAACAGCACAGCTGGATACAAAGTCAACACTCGAAAAATCAATAGCCTTCCTGTATAGGAATAACAAACCCACTATGAAAGAGAACACGAGGGAAATAACACTTTTTACAATAGCATCTGAAAAAAAAAGAAATACCTAGGAATCAACCTAATGAAGGATGTAAAAGATTTCTACATTGAAAACTATAGTACTCTGAAAAAAAGATATTAAAGAGGATATCAGAAACTGGAAAGATCCCTTGCTCTTGGGTAGGAAGAACTAATACAGTGAAAATGGCCACCGTACTTCCAAAACTGTTACAGAGATCTAATGCAATTCTGATCAAAATTCCAACAGCGTATCTCACAGAATTAGAGAAAACATTCCTAAAATTCATTTGAAACCAGAAGACACCTAAAATAGCAAAGGTAGTTGGTTCTGGGCAACAAAGGCAGGGCAGGGAGCATCACAACTGCCAATGTGAAATTATACTATACAGGTACTGTGATAAAAACAGCATGGTACTGGGGAAGAAAACAGAACAGAACTGGGGGGCCGGGGAGATGGCTCAGTAGAATAAGTGCTTGCCTGGCAAGTGCAAGCGCCTGAGTTCAATCCCTGGTTCCGAGAAAAAAAAAAAAAAAACAGAACCACAGGTCAGTGGAATAGATTAGAAGATGCAGAAACAATTCCACACATCCCCAGTCACCTTATCTGACAAAAATGCCAAACACATTCACTGGAAGAAAAATAGCCTGCTTACTAACTGGTGCTGGAAAAAGTGGCCCTCCACATGCTGAAGATTAAGGTTGGATCCATACCTTTCACCATGCACTAAACTAAATTCAAAATGGATCAAGGGGCCGGGGAGATGGCTCAATGGAATAAACGCTTCCCTGGAAAGCGCAAGGGTCTGAGTTCAATCCCAAAATCCACAAAAAAAAAAAAAAAAAGATAAAAAAAAAATGGATCAAAGATCTAAAATATTGAAAAACCTGCTGGAAGATAGAACAGGTAAATTCTTTATTTTTATTTTTTATTTTTTTTTTGGAACCGGGGATTGAACTCAGGTCCTTGCACTTGCCAGGCAAGCACTTATTCTACTGAGCTACCTCCCTGGCCCTAAAATCCTTGAAGACATTGGTATAAGTAAAGACTTTATGAACAAAACCGGGATAATACAGAAACTGTCACAAAGAATCAACAACTGGGACCTCATCTTATTAAAAAGCTTTTGCACAGCAACAGAAACCACCAACAGAGTGAAAAGACAACCCACAATGTGGGAAAAAATGTCAGCTGTTCCTCAGACAAAGGGTTACTATCAAAGAAAAAAAAACAACACCCACCCAAAACAACCCAGACCTCCCAAATTTAAAGATCCAATCTAAAAATGGGTATCTTGAGATGCAAGCGCAAAGGCCTGAGTTCAATCCCTGGTTCAAAAAAAAACAAACGAACAAAAAACAAAAAAACAAAAACAAAAGAGAGTTACTTAAAAAAAATTTTTTTTCTTTGGGGCCGGGGAGATAGCTCAGTAGGATAAGTGCCTGACTGGCAAATGCAGGGATCTGAGTTCAATCCCGGTTCCGCCAAAAAAAAAAAAAAAAAGAAATCAACCAATAACAAATGCTGGCAGCACAGTGGGGAAAGAAGAACCCTTCTTCACTGTTTGTGGGAGGGTAGACTGGTGCAACCATTGTGGGCATCAGGGTGGAGATAACCTAAAAAAACTAGGACTGGAGGTTGCATTTGACCCAATTATTCTTCTGCTGAGTATCTTCCCAGAAGAAACACATGTTGTTGTAATCTGTAATAGCTAAATATTGGAAACAGTACAAATGCCCATCAACCAAGGAATGGATAAAAAAGATGTGGTCTTTTCACACAATGGAGTACTACTCAGCCATAAAGAAGGATAAACTGGAGATTTCTACAGGTAAATGGATGCAACTTGAGACCATACTCATAAGTAAATAAACTAGATGTACACATGTAAACATCATATTGTCTCCTTAGTGTGAGAGGTTGAAAGAGTAAATAAGATCCAAAATGTACAACAGATACTGTGAAATGGGAGGAAACTTCAAAAGGAAAGAGAAACTGATGTGGGAGAATGGGGAGAAAGAAAGAAAAGCAAAAAAAAAAAAAAAAAAAAAAAAAAAAAAAAAAAAAGAAAATTAAAAGGGGAAAAAAAAAAAAAAAAAAAAAAAAAAAAAAAAAAAAAAGGATATTTACACAAAGTTGTTAGGATACTTACACTACTAATTTATCTTCATTGAAAAGCAAAATTTGTGCTAAAATTGTTTGGACAATTAAATGCTTGTATATTATACTCTGAGTAAGTTAAAGATAACAATATGCAATATATTAACCATTGTTACCTTTCTATTATTTTGGTTTGAAATTTTGGGTTTTTTTTTCTTTTTAAAATTAAAGAGTAGGGGGCCTGACAGCACAGTTGTTTAAGCGCCTGCTCATGCAAATGCAGTCAGGCGCACAATACCATGGTTCGAACCCCACCTGCACCTGCCTTATCAGACCCGCTCTTAAGGCAGGCTGAGCCAGCCAAAAACTTAAATTAATTAAATTAAAGAGTATGTGAGGGGCTGGTGAGATGGCTCAGTGGTCTAAAGCACCTACTTAGAACAAGCTTAGCAAAGCACAGGGACCACGGTTCAATCCCCCAGGACATGCCAGCCAGCCCCGCCCCCTGGTGGGCTGAGCTGGCCACACACACACACACACACACACACACACACACACACACAAAAAAAAAAAATAAAAAAAAAAAAAAAAAAGAGTATGTGTGCATGCAATTCACCAGGCATGGTGGCATGGGCCTGCAATCCCAGCACACAGGAGGCTGAGCCAGGAGGATTACAAATTTGAGGCCAGGCTAGGCTACATGGTGAGCTCAAAGCCAGTCTAAACTACACGGCAGGACCCCATCTATAAAATCCAGAATCCTAGCTTCTCTTGAAAAATTAAGGCCCACAGGCCTAAGCAGCCATGCAAAGCTGGGACAGAGTTGTGTCTGAGCTCCACACACACAGGCGCTGCCACTGCTGAAGACCTACCTGTGGCTCAGGAGTGCCACCACTACCCCTGTGGGCACATGATTAACCCGTCTTGCCACAAAGCTTGGCATATACCGTTCACCCTCACCAAAATGGCCAGGCAGGCTGAAGAGAGCTAAATATGAGCAGCGACATGAGCCTCGTATTTGCACCTACAGCCAAGGCAAACAGCTGCCTCCACAAAGAAGGGGGCCCCTGTGCTGCATGAGATAAACCTATCCATAACCAAGGACTCTGGCCCACCACTCGGGAGGTGAAGGAGCTCTGCCCAGGGATGTGGGCAGAGCACCAGGCATGGTGCTTTTCCTACCTGTTCCCCTTTCAGGTTCAAAAGCCAAAGTTTTCTGGATCTAACACCCAACAGTGTCAGGAATGAAAAATTGCTACTGAGCGTGGTGGCACACACCTATAATCCCAGCATTTTAGGGACTGAGGCAGAACTGCTCTGAGTTCAAGGCCACCCTGGCCTACATAGCAAGACCCTATTTCCGACTCCCCAAAAAAAGTCTGTATACCCCCAAGGCCCTGCGCTGCGGGGAGTAGGTGCCCAGATTCCTCAGAGTGACGGGTATTTAGTTCCGAAAGAGCTTGGCGTTATCTTCTGCTGCCCCAGAACTCCTGTGTGTTCCTGATAAAATATCTCCTGCTACCTGAAAGGGTAATCAAGGCCCTAAAATCTCTGAGCAGTGAGTGATACATGTGGCTCCGTGTTGCAGGAAGGGGCACACCCATCTTCCCTTTATTAAAGGCTCCTGAGGGCAGCGTCTCCCCTCAGCATGACTGACCACAAGTCAGGCCACTTCTGCCCCCAAGAACTTTCCTGTACACTGCGAAGTGTGCCCAGCATTCCCTGCTGCTACTCGCTGGCAACAGTAATAACTGCCTGCTCCAACCCTGTTTACAACAACCAAAATGCCTAGATACTGCCAAATGCTAACTCGGGGCAAAGCTGCCCCTAGTTCAGGAATTCTGTTCCAGCCAAACTGCACCACCTGCCACCCATCTCATACAGAATTACATTTCAGCCAGTCTTACACCCTGATTTCCTCCTGGTCTCTGAACTCTAACCTCCCACAATATTCCCACCATAGCAAATGAGCAAGCAAACACAGCTTCAAACAGTACCGTCTGGGAACCCAGCAACTGAAGGAACCCCAAGAGCCGGTCCTGCCTAACACCCACTGGCCTCTTAGCTGCAAGGCACCAGCAGCAGCAGCAGCAGCAGCAAACACCCTTGGGCAGTGAGTGCTGGAGTGGGTTTGGGACTTTCACAGGGCAGTGAGAGTCTGCTAGATGCTTACAGGCAGGAGCACACACTGAGTCAGCCTATAGGACCTCACCTCAACGGGTGGATAGCTTCAGAGCACCCCACAGCAATACCTAGAAGGAAGGGGATCACAGGTCTTCACACAGGCTGGTGGGTGAGCTAGGATTTTCCAACTGATGATGAAAACCACATGAGAAGTTGGACAGTATTTATCCTGAGACTGAGACCAAGTCACAGTTCTGTGGGAACTCCTGAAGCCTTGTGTTAACCAAGAGAACCAAACAGTAATAAATACTCTGACCTCCTTGACACAAGGCCCAGGGGAATCAATGTCTTAGCAGAACCTTCCCCAAGAAGTAATGACTCTAGAGGAGCAGAAAGCCCCAAGGGCACTGGCTGCAGGGCCAGTTTGCCTCCATGTTGCTGCACATCAGTGTGGAGCAAGAAGCCGCAGCAGGGGAGTCAGGAAAGCAGTGGCCCAGCCCAGCACTGGGTGGGCTCATACGTAGTCCCAGCTCCTTCCCCAGCACCACGCCGCATGCAGGACAGAACAGAGAACAAAACTGAGCTCAGTCACTAGGAAGTTTGGGTGGGAAAAGGAATTGTACAGGATTTTTTAAAATAACCTCAAATATTTCTGTTTTCACAGACTAAAATTTACCTTGTCAAGGAAAGTGGACGGGAAGGGGCGAGTCACATCAGCATGGGCTCTCACTAGAGGAAGTGGCTGCTTTCTTTGGCTCTATCCTAGACAGAAGTTTCAGAATCAGCAGGAACCCTTCTCTTTTGCTCTAGGTTCCCACCCAATTCACTGCTTTCTCATCAGATATAGTGATGAGAACCAAGCCACACAATTCTAAACATGCTGCTTGGGTCGGGGAGGGTCGCACAATTGACCTGCACAGGTTTGGGCAAGAGCCACCCTTCTCACCTTCAGGTGACTGCCGGGCCTTGCTCTGCTGGAGTAGTCACATGACTTTCACAATCAGCTCAGATAAGCACTCTGGTTTCAACCTTTGGCAGCACAAACAAGTGTCACCTTGGTGTCTGCTGCGGTATGTAACTAGCTCCCTTTCAAGCAGGATCTTAATTTAAACCTAACCCAGGAGAGGCAGGCCTAGCACGACACTGTCGTGATGCCAGGGAATCAGCACTGTCTTCTGGAGGCCAAGCAGGCAGACAGCAGGAGACCTGCGACAGGGTCAGTGCCAGGCCAAACCCAAGTGCCAGGAAATAAGACCCCTCCCACATGGTGGCATCCTCATGAAGTAAGGAGGACTGGCTCACAACCACCAGTTAAGGCTTACACTGAAAGCTGACACATTCCTTCTCCTTGCCCCAGTCAGGGCTCCTGCCTACAGTCTGGGATGGGAAGCATCGTCTCTTCAGTCCTCTTTGGTGACACAAAGGCCACTTTCTGTTTCTAGGAAGTAACTGGTTCCTCATTCGTATGGCCTTGTCACCCGCAGCATCAGGCCAGTCAAGGGTTTATAGGTAATCCCAGCTGCTCCAAGAGGCTGAGGCATGAGGATCACAGGTTCCAGCCCTGCCTGAACAACTCTGTGAGTTCCTGACTCAAGATAAATTTGAAAAGATCAGGAATCACCCCAGCTCATGGCATGGACAACAAGGAACAAAGCAGCCCTTCCCACAAGAAAGAGGCAGCATTCCCAGGGGCAAGATGGACGTTACTGTCTCTCAGGCTCTGCACAGCATGCCCTGACTGGAACTTACAGTCAGTCCTCTGCACACCTGTACTTGCGGAACAGCACAGGTTCTACTGGACAGGGGGGAGGCACTGGTAGAAGGGGCGTCTTGTCATACCTCACAACCCCTGCACACTGCCTCCTTTACTGACACTCACCAGCCTGCTAAAGCTTCAGGGACCTGTGTGTTTGGTCCACTTGCCTAACTGTAAACCCTTAACAGGAAGAACATTGTCTATGGACTAACATGCTGCACACAGGATAAACGGGGAGCAGTTTAGACATAAAATGTTAAGGGTGGGGATTCAGCTCAGGTGTGCAGTGCTTGCCTACTGTGCATGAAACCCTGAGCTCAATCCCCAACACCAAAAAAAATTCACTTTAGATATCAAATGTTGCATAGACCTCTAGTGTTACCAAATCAATGCTTTCCAAATTGGAACAGAAGCTAGTACAAATTGGATCAGCACACTAAGCACACACTGTTGCAATCTTATTCTATGAAAATCAGTAATTTACCTGTTAGATAGACATGATGAGTCTCTCTCTCTTAGCCAAAAAATCTGTTTTTTGCTCTTCTCTGCCATACACTTAAGAGACTGCTTTCTAGTTGGCCTGCAGCTTCCAGGAAGCTGTATGCATTGGCTCCTGCATGAATACACTTGCACAGCCTCTGGCCTATGCATGCTTCCTACCTGCGTCTGAAAAGGCCAACAGTCAAGGGTTTATAGGTAACCCAGCTGCTCCAAAAGGCCCAGGAAGTAACTGGGTCTGAAAAGGCCAACACCAGTGCCTGGTGAGCCCAGGTACTTGTCTTACCTCAGGCAAACTCAGTCCCCACAGATGCAAGACAGTTTCCCTTCTCGTGCGCATGAACACGAAACAGCACTCCAACGTGATCTGCCTGGAATGCCCCCTTTCCAGCTCAGGTGACTGGCCAACTCCTACTCTTACTTCCAGACCAGATCAGCTATCACCATCTCAGGAAAGCCAGCCACGTCCACCCCACCTCGAGCCTAACTTAGATGCCTCCCCACCCTATCTGGTCCTGTCCTGTGCCTGGTAACTCCTCTGCTGCAGTTTGGCACACCGTCTTGTCCTTATTTCCACATACTAAACCCTACAGGCAGAATCCCTAGACATGGAGCTAGAAACACCTAGGTCAGAAACACCTGAGGAACTTAACAGAAATACATGCCCCTGGGCCAAACTGCAGATTCTGCATTCTAGTACGCTCCATTCCCAGGTGATTTCTGTGATTTTGAAAACAACAGCATTAGAGTATACCCTCCTTGGAAAGAAAGACCTTATGTCTTCGCATTTATGGTCTCAGGCCACGCTTCTCAAATGGTCAAAGTCTTCATGTGTGACAGTCTTCCAGAGCAAATGCAAATGGGACTGTGGGAAAAAGTGAAGCCTTATCCTCAACCCAGGCAGGCTAGAAATAAGTATTACATCATCAGATACTGGAAATGTCATCAAAGCAGGGAGTCAAATTCAAGATTCATAAGACCTGGGTTTTGCTATTTAATAGTCCAACAATTTAAATACAAGACGACCCAAAATTGCATTTTTCCATTAACTTTTATAAGCTAATAGAAAAATATAAAAAGGACAATTTTATCAAATTTATTCAATACAAGAATTGACTGGTTGAGCCAGGTATGGTATATATCTCAGCACTCAGGAGGCTGAAACAGGAGGATCCTGTGAGTCTGAGACCAGCCTGGACTCCATAGTAGGTTCAAGGCTAACCTGAACTGCATAGTGAGACCCTGTTTCAAAAAAAATTACAACAATAGGGCCGGGGAGATGGCTCAGTGGAATAAGCGCTTCCCTGGCAAGTGCAAAGGCCTGAGTTCAATCCCCGGTTCCACAAAAAAAAAAAAAAAAAAAAAAAAAATTACAACAAAACAGAACTAGCTCGCTGAAATGATTCCTGCCTGAGCAATGCTTGGGATACTCAGTATGCACAACTTACTGCCTGAGTGATGCTTGGAGTAAACTGCTAAGTGGCTAAAAATAAGAATAAAACAACAACAACAAAAAACTTCAATTACTATTTCTCCAACTAATTGAGAAACTCTGGACAAGTGGCTGGAATTCTGTAAGTCTGCCTACACCTCTGTGAAAACACTGCCACACAAGACACAGTTATTACAAAGTAGGAAGAAAAAGAATAAATGAAATATACACGAAGACCCTCATTTACATAGTGTGTATATGGGACTCTTTTAAAAACAAGATTATCACTAAGTAATCATCAGAAGATGTCTCCATGGGGTCGGGAAGGTGGCTCAGTAGAAGAAGTGCTTCCCTGGCAAGCGCAAGGGCCTGAGTTCAATCCCCGGTTCCGCCCTCCCCCTCAAAAAAAGGTCACATGGGCAAGGCTTCAAGGCATGGACTGCGAGGGCTGGAACAGCCTGCAAGCCTGGGCTTCCAGCTGCGGCCAAGAAACTGCTGAGGAACCAGCTAAGGACTTGCCTGCTGCTGGTGCTCTAGGACACGCACAACAACCACCCCAGCACTGTGATGAGTGTCTCCATCTGAGTCCACCCCAACTTCACTTTCACTTAGCTGACAGTACTGGGGATTGAATCCATAACCTTTGTACTGAGCTACATCATCAGCCCATTTTTAATTTTTTGAGACATGTTCTCCCTAAGTTGCCCAAGGTGAGCTTCAACTTTGGACCCTCCTCCCTTGGGCTCCCAGAGTGCTCAGAATGAGGGGTTAGGGGACACATACCTTCTTGCCACCTCAGTCTATAAGCTGAATGGCATCTTGGTACAGTAAGAGGCAGCCTCCCAGGGGAGAGGCAGGAGGAGCAGGTGCTCACTTATGCTTCAGGAGCACCTCCTATCCATACCTTCCACCTCTGCACAGGCCCTGGTTCTCCAGCTCCCAGAGTCTGCAGCCCTTTGGCATGAGCAGATAGAAGTAATAATTGTGTCAAGTGCCTCCACTCTGTCAGCAAAGATGCTCAAGTTTTACCCTTGACCTTTGTAAAATCCTTTTCAAGAAAGTGTCATTATCTACATTTCCAAAACAGGCAGTAGGATCTGAGTGCAGATTTTCCTGACTTCCACCCCTCCCACCTGCTGATGTCTCAACCCACCCTCCTGAGCATGGTGAGGAGGGTGAGGGGCAGCTTTCCATAGGGGCTGAGGGATGCTCAAAATAGGGCTGCCACTCTCCAATGCCTCAAGGGCATGCGATGAAGATTCATAGAGAAACTGACTTTTAAAAGAACCCTGGGCAACCCAAAGCTTGCTCACCTAGCACCTGCGCCTGTGTGAGCAAAGCAGCTGCGCCTTCTGCTGTGGCTTCTGGTCTGGGCTTGGGTGGCTTTTTGCCCTGGATAGTGGAAGAAGGTGTGTGCATGCCCGGCCCTCCAGAAGCCCCACCCTGTCACATTACACATTCTGATACAGACATGTCTCTCGGCCAGAAGGATGGGAATGCCAGCTCACAGAAGCCCTGGAACAAATAGTTGGCAACAGCTATGTTCTCGGAGGACAGCAGTTGGTCCAGCCCTCGCTACTGTTTTCTTATTCCAGACTATGTTACCAGCTATAATTTAGTACCCGATCTTGAAGGACTGGGGGCTCACAAAGCCATGGAATCTGTCACAGGGTCTGATCATTCAGGAGGGCCAAATGGGGCCAACTCCATACCCCGCCCCTGAGGTATGCAGGATGTCCCTGACCACATTGCCTAGGTCACACACTTGGAATGAAGAAAGCCTTAGCCTTCCCTTATGGAACAGAATCCCCGTGCAGCCCTACCTACCGCCAGTCCTTCAGAACCGAGGACTGAAGAAATCCTAGTAACTCTCCAAATCAAAATGGAGAAGGAAAAGAGGGGTTTGGCTAAGAATCTCACTTTGCTCTCCCCACACCCTGCCTCACTGTTCTGTTGTTTCTTCCATAAAGCTTCACAAGTGGTTTAGTGCAGCAAGGAAAAGCAGATCTGGGCAGCCAGCCCTAGGGCCACCTCAAGAGTGTGGGGGCTCACACACAGTGGCTCTGGAGATAAGGGGCAACCAGCAGGCAAGGAAGGCAGGCTGCAGATTTCTATGTGGGAGCCAGCCAAGCAGGACTAACAGACATTGTCTAAAATCTTCCTTCCAAAAATCTCCCTCCCACCAAAGCAACAGTACAAGAAGAAGCTCTGACCCTCTTCCCTGCCCAGAGCATCCACACAACACCAATAAAGTTACCTGTCTAAGACCCAAAAGGAAAGGCATCGTGCAGGAGCATCATCCACACTATGAGTGTACTGGGAATAGAGGGCTCTTAAAAGTGATAGTCTGGGAAGAGCGTGGCTCTCATGGGCTGGCACTCGTAGGCAGAGAAGAGAAAATAAACAGTCCTGGGACCCAGTGGTAGCTTGCTCCTGCTCCTGCGCTCCTCACTGCCCCTCGGCCTGCTCTGACCCACCCCCACCTTCCCGTGACATATCACAGCCCAAGCTGTCTGCCAAGGGGAAATGACATCAGCTCAGGCACAGCAGAAAACCTTCAGACAGCTGCTGTGGAGCAGAGGAGGATGTGCTGCAAACCCAAGTTGTCAGCTGGACCCACCCAGAGCGTGAGCATTCTGGGGCTGCTCCTATTAGCTTCCCTTGCTCTGAGCTGGCTCTGCATATGTAAATCAAGTCTAGGAGACTGAAGGACTACGCCTCTCCAAATAAGGATTGGCTTGACAGCTCGGGGCTATTGTTTCTCTTCCTTGGGAAAGAAAATCAGGCCCAGTGACTGTCAGTTTCATAGAAACTTTTCCACCTCAGCCTGCCAGAGCTGGTGCTCAGTGAATAATAGCACATTAAGTCTGGCTGACCCCACTGTCTCCAACAATGGAGGAATCTGCAGAGAGGCCTGACATGGCCTCTTTGAGCAAAGGTAGGCCTGGCTACCTTGAGTGCTGACCTCCCCAGCCCCTGCTCGACAGGAGAGTTTATATTTCATAAACAAACTCCACAGGAACAGGTGCCAACATCTTTCTTCACTTGTCTTACAAACGGTACAACAAGTCCTGCTGCAGCCTCCAAGTTGCTGGGAAAGGAGATCAGCTATATTTAAACTGACTCCAGCTTTGGAAGTTTACCCCCTTAGGTTTGTTGTACTTTTTTTTTTTTTTTTTTTTTGCTAAGTTCAGTTCATGCAGGAAATTGTTCACTAATAGCAAGCTTTATCCAAGATGCACAGGCCCAGGGGCTATGACCTGCTGTGACTTTTCCTAGTCAGTAGGGGAAGTCAGCTCTCCTCTGGCCACCCTTCCTCAGAGAGCAGGGCACAACAGCTCTCCTAGCCCCAAATCCTACACGGAAGAAAGCACAAGCAAAGGACAAAAGGAAAAGGTCTCTATTTGGTTATGATTTGCGGGAATGACACGTGTGTGCCTCAGCATGCTACGCACACAATGACAGGCTCTGGCCCTAGTATGAACTGCTGAATTATTATGGTGGTCATCTAACATGGCTGAAGCCCTTAAAACAATAGCTTACCCTCCCAGAGACTACCTCCCCATTATGGTTTGTGTCTAGTTGTTCCCCCAAAGCCTCATGCAGTCATGGGGCAGGGACTTTTAGAGTTTGTGATTAACTCATGATCCACTGGGATTATGAGTGATCCAAGGCTGGGATTATGAGTCTTAGTACAGCTGCGATTATGAGTGTGTATACTTCCCCCAGCCTGGGCAGAGAGCCTGAATGCATTTTAAGAGAGACAGACTTCCTCTCTGTTGCCATTGTTGCTGCTCCTCTTCCATTCTGCTCTTGCTGTCTGTCGCCACCATGAACTGCTGTCCTTTGCCATGTACCTCTCTGCCTTGGAGCGAGCTGAAGAAAGACTGACACCTCCAGTAACTGTGAGCTAAATAAACCTTTCTTTCATTTTGCATGCCATGTATGTGTCCCAGCAACGAGGGAAGAATAACTGAGACACCCCACTTCTTCTCCAACCCAACCCAAGGTGCAATGTCCTTTCACCTTTCCCACAGCCACAGAGAAGACCCCAATCAGCTCATCAGATATTTCTAAACATCCCCCTCAAATTCCACCCCTAGCAAAAGTCCTAAAAGCCCCAGCTCTTTTTGTCTCAGGCCAAAGGATCTACCTAAGCCTTGCCTTCAATCCTCTCCACATCTTTGGAGTGAATTAAGGCTTCTTTTATCTTTCCTATCTCTTTACTGCACCTCCCAAAAACCTATCACACAATACACCTGTAAGCCACACCCCCAGCCCAGAAATGACTCTTAAAGAAAACAGTCTTCACAGGAACCTGACAAATCTAAAGTTACTTAACTTTCTAATAACTTCAACTGAAAATTACCTTTTTCATGACTCAAAGCAAGTGCAGCTCATCTTCATTTTCATTTTCTACACTAATATTCTTTCAGTGATATTCATCAGAGGCCTGCACAGCAGTGGCACTGTGCTGGGCATGACTCATATAAGTCACAGATGATTCCTGCAAATTAGTGTCTACACCCCCACCAAGGAGAGTAAATTAGCTGTAAGCAACACTCAGAGCACAGCAAGGTGCCAAGAGTACTTTCTGGTCATTAGCATCCAGCCAGACACACAGTGTGCTTGCTGCAGGTCACCACTGGGATCAAGGTCACATCGACTTTAAAGTGCCACACCAGTGGAGCCATTTCCTTGAGGCTCATGGAAGAACAGAGTGCAGCCTCAGTGCTCTGTGGAAAGGAAAAGGGCTGACATGCAGAGAGTGGCTTCTGCAGGTGTCTGGGGGCTGAGAAGCCTTCTTTAGCAGTATGATATGCTCAATACATCGTCAGACAGGCTCTTCTAGGCCCTGCCACACAGGCCAAAGCACTAGGTTGACTTAGCTGCGCAGAGGGGCACAGGTGCAAGGAGACGGGCTTTCAACCCTGCCATTCACGTTCTCACTTCCCTGGCAACCCTAGCAAGCTAGAAAACACGGGAAGCACTCTTCTCTTTGGCAAGCAAACCAGAAGAGAAATGTGCTCCGCCCCTTGAGAACAACTATGGCCTGCACCACCCTAGCAGGATGAACAGCACCTGCACTTCTCTGGAAAGAGTGGGTCCATTCATTCACTCCGGCCCACTGGATGTCTGTGAGGGGCCAGGCTCAGTTCTCTGCATCGAAGATACCACCACGCCCAAGACACTCCCCCAAAACCTCTTCTGATGGGCCATGGAATTGGTGCAACTTCTAAACAATTTTTGTGATCTCAGAAGAAAAGGAACCATAATAATGTAACTATTCTTTTTTAAATGTGTAAAAACAAAATGATCACAAACACATTACAGTCTTCCAATTATTCACTGTCTTATGGATGCTATTCAAGACAGTGTTTCTAGTCAGCTGTCTGATTTAATCTTCTTACAAGACTATAAATTGTGTGTGCAAGACACCATTTAAGCTAAAGCATAACCAATGGTACAATAATCACATCATCTACAAATTGGCTGCTGACAATGGCTGCTTCTTCCACCCACTTCTCTCCAAAGCCAACTGCTGATGATCCTTCACTGAGCTCTAGCAAATTCAACTATGTCCAGGAAGATGAGTTCACTTTCTGTTATGCCCTAGAAACATCACCACAGCCTAGTAACAGTGTAGAACACTACAGGATTTAAAAGGCAAGATAGGGACCAGGGAGGTAGCACTGCAGCATAAGTGCCTACCTGGCAAGCACAAGGTCCTGACTTCAGTCCCTGGTACAAAAAAAAAAAAAAAAAAAAAAAGCAGCAGCAGCAGCAGCAAGATAGCCATTAGCCACTTCCACTATCCTGAAGGGGAGAAAAAAAAGAGATTCTTTTATATAAATGATGTAGGCACAAACATGATGGAACAAAATTAGGGCAAACTACTCAAGTGATTTTGACTATCTGCCTGCCATTATAGAATTAAATTCAATGCTGAACTTACCAATTTTTTAAAAAGTCTCAGGCTAAGGACATAGCTCAACAGCATAAGTGCCTGTCTGACAAGTGCAAGGCCATGAATTCGATTTCTGGTACAACAAAAAAAGAAAACAAAAAAGTCATAATCAATTAGAACTAAGCAGGACAATGTGATGTTGCAGATGAACCACTTTAGAACCCCAAACAGTGTCTGCAACCTACCCTAAAAGCCTGGCCTCCCCAGGATTCCCGTACTGACTGCATCACCCTTTGGATTCTCTAACTTACTATTTATGAAGACCTACTATAACATACATGCTCATGGAGGTCACTCTTTTTCTGTAGTCAATTTAAGTACTTTTTTTTTTTTTTTTTTTGCTCCGAATGCCTTTAGGGCAGGTTTGGCTGGCTTGAGTTGTGGGGATAGAACAGCAGCAACCCGAGCCTGACTGCTTTGTTGAAGCAGCCACTTAAAGAACTGAGCTAAGGGGCAGGCCCCCAATTTAAGTACTTTTTGACATTTTTCTAGATGACTTACACACTTACAATCTTCACCTTCTAGAATGGGGTGGGAGAGTTTATTTTCCAATCCTGACCATGGATGTCTGTGGAATTCCATCTAACCAACATCTCATGCATGGCCACAACCACCCTGTGAGGTAGGCTCTGCTGCAGAGACCCATGCACTTGCGTAACTGACCAAGGCCACACAGCTAACAGTGGGATAGTGAAGAGTTAGTCTCTGGCTCCAAAGGCTTTTTTTTTGTGTGTGTGTATGTGTATGTGGCCAGCTCAGCCCACCAGGGGGCGGGGCTGGCCGGCATGTGGTGCTGGGGGATTGAACCGTGGTCCCTGTGCTTAGCTTAGCTTAGTTTAGCTTGTTCTAAGTAGGTGCTTTAGACCACTGAGCCATCTCGCCAGCCCCAGGCTTTTTTTTTTGTGATAAGAGAATCAGAGAAAAATTAGTACTGAGATAAACACCAAAAATTCAGGGTCAGGGGCTGGTGAGATGGCTCAGTGGTCTAAAGCACCTACTTAGAACAAGCTTAGCAAAGCACAGGGACCGCGGTTCAATCCCCCAGCACCA